CGATCGAGGGTGTTGGCGATCACCAACTCAGAAGTACTCCGCTGGCCACAGATTATACCAGCGCTCCGAACGGTCGAAACGCTGGACTTTGCCGTTCCCGTACGCATGCCGATTCAATCTAACACTGTCATGTTCATCTCCTTACAGCCCTTCGACCCCATCATCGACCTTTCTCCATTCCTAAGCCTCGTGTTCCTACGCATTTCAATAGAACGGCCCTATGCTTGGTCCATGGTATTCAATACCCTTTCGACGATTGCGCCCTCAAATCACATCCGCAAAATTGTGATCTGTGGTGTCTTTGCCGATGGGATCGCCGCTGAAGAGCTCGACTCCAGGCTCTCGAGCCTTCCCATGCATCACTCGCCAGCCTTTCACTTTGAGATGCATCCCGACGAGTACGACAGGCTCGCACCCACCTTGCATCAGTTGAGTTCCACAAACATGGTATGTCCTCTAATCACATATCTGCTCGCCTGTCCTTATTTCTCTGGAACTGGCTACTACGGGGGCTCTGCTTGGGTTGGTCTGGACGGCATGACCTGCCAAACTAGCCTCATGGCGACCGGGATTGATTTCATCTATTTTAACGAGACCATTTCCGCCAATGGTATGTATGGTTGAACTGGGCTGCATTGATGAGTCTCATATATTCATTAAATTGCAGCCTGGACCGAGGTCTATCCCAATCCCGGGGTCGATCTATCGATGAGCGTCAACGCGGGCGACACCATAAAATTGACGGTCACCGCGACCTCGACCACCACCGGCACCACGGTCGTAGAGAACCTGTCCAACGGGCAGAGCAGCACCGTTAGTCTCACGACCCCCTCACCGCTGTGTCTCAAGAATGCGGAATGGATCGTCGAGGACTTCCAGGAAAGCACCTTCCTCATCCCATTCGTGAACTTCGGCAGCCTCACGTTCACCGACGCGTCTGTGACCACACAGTCCGGCAGCACGGTCGGGCCGTCCGGGTCCGGGTCTCATCTCATCAACATGGTGCAGAGCAGTCTTGAGTTCGCATCCGCGAGCTCCGTCGCATCCAGCGTCACGGTCAACTACCTTACAAGCATTCCCTTTTAGTTTTCTTTTTTTCTTTCAGCAGCATCAGTAAAACAATACATTTGTCTTTGACATCTGGAGTACACAACAACTTGAGGAGAGTTCCTGAGAGAATGGCATCCGAAAACTATTCAGCAATGTGGCTCTGTCATACTGGTGTGATACAGGTCTAACTGGCGAACACAGACAAAAGACCTAATAGCATCGCAACCATGCAAAGAATGGTCATAGCGCGGTCGAATGTGAATGGGGAATCGAACATAGGGACATCTGGGTTGCACCATTGGCATTAGCATGGGGTTTTGTGCGTATGAACAAGAGTTGGGTGTATTGAGCTCCCGCGTCCACAGCACTGCTTCAGGTAGAAACAGAAGAAATTATTCAGGTGTGGCTATGTATAGCTACCTCGCGGCTTGACGGACGGAACTGAGACAAATCGATGTTTAGAAGTCTAGTTTCAATTCGACCTGTGAGAAAGAGGTCACTACCGAATACAATTCCTGACAAGGACGAGAGCCCACTGAGTCGGTTTTAATCGCAATATGCGCCGTAAGATCTGACCGCGAACCCCATTACTTCCCCCATGCCTGTTGTTTTGCAGAAGGTGCAGTTCACAGGGATTTCATTCAATACGAGGGCGAGTAGTTCTGGAGTGTACAGATCCGCGGCCGTTGTCGTCCCAAGCACGGCTGGTAAGCCTCTCAAATGGGCGGCAAACCAGACTGTCATGCTATCTGAATCAGAGGTCGCGGACTGCCAGTCCGCGTGGTCAGATAGAGGCGGTGCTGCCGCACCCAGAACCGGGGAAATTGTCACCAAGTGTCTACTTGAGTGAGGAACTGGCCAATTTTGCGACCTGTCCGCACTCGGCATGGTAGTCGATGAGACAATAATGATACGTGTTGCCCGTGATGTATTTGAGCTGGGGACGACGGTCCGGGACCGACTCGAATGTACGAATCGGGAGTATCAGGGAGCTCCGCGCCACTTCCAGCGCCAAGTCCTTCCCATGCAATGGCAAAGACGGCGACCGGATCCTCGTCGAGATATCGCGTAGTCGCTTCTTGGCACTGGGTACGGCAAACTGCATATAATACGTTCCATTCGGACCACTGCCTCCAGGACCTCGCACACTTCATCGAGTGTCTGGGATGCAATTGGCTCGACACCAACCGCAGGGCTCTGTCGAGAACGAGGGCCAATTCCGAGACCAGAATGACCGGAGCGCCGGGCTCGGTGGATGATTGGGGAAGCATGAACATCTAGTTGAAGAACGGAAAAGCCAGTGATAGCACGACCCGGGGGAGGTGGAAATCGATCCCCTCTGAGGAGCGGAGGACGACATCCGCCGTGCGGTCGTCGGACGGGGTCCCGGGGAGGATCCATCGCCATTTTATCCGATTCGGGCATGGTCAAGAATTATGACATTGAAGTAAGACTGAGGATTGACTGGGGACGGTTCAAAGAATTATGCAACACTGAGGACTGACGGGAGACGCCTGAATTCGGACGACGTCACCGGACGTCGAGAAAGGTCACATTATGTCATGTGTGACACTCCTGCCTCTTCCCACCACAGCACCTTCGGAACTTGGCCGAGCTCCGAGTCAGACGTCCAGGCACACACATCCAGGATATTCCTCGCTTAGCCCCATCTAATGCACCCGGACCACATTCAGATACCGGAGGAACTGGTGAACCACATCATCGATTTCTTCCACGACACCCCGACCGATTTGAAGGCCTGCGCCTTGGCTTCCCGTGCATTTGTGTACGCGGCCCAATCCCATATCTTTAATGAGCTATCCATCGCTCATTATGGGGCGACGACGAGTGATATCGACGACTTGTGGTCTCGCTGCCAGGAGACGCTGCATGCCTCCCCACACCTCATCCAACACATTCATCGACTCGCAATTCATCCTCACACGATCTCCAGCGACACATTCTCCGCAATCTGCAATTTCCCATTCACTCATTTGACGGAAGTTTGTACTTCCACTTTCCCCCTGTCCTCTCCGTTTGCGATCGCTCTGCAGCAGCTGTTTAGTCTGCATACTCTCCGCTTCGTGGATCTCCGCTGCTATTTTAACAATCCATCGTCATTTATACAGCTCTGGGATCGCTGTGCTCCTGGTATTAAACATCTGGACTTCACGTGTTACCAGACATCGACCGATGCCTTGCGCCCTGCCTCTCAGCACTGGCCCGCGGCTATTCTCCTTGACTCCTTTCGAATCGCGGAGATAAAGGGGATCCGTGACTGGATGGACCACGCCCTCTGCCCATTCGATTTCTCCGGGTTGAAGGTGTTGTCGTGCTCTAGGCCAGAAGTACTCCGCTGGCCACAGATTACACCAGCCCTCCAAACGGTCAAAGCCCTCGACTTTACCCCTTCCGTGCGCCTTTCGATTTTTTCCCAATCCGTCCCACTCATCTTCTTGACAGAGCTACGACGACGACTCCATGATCGACCTCTCCACATTCCCATGCCTCGTGTTCCTCCGAATTTCGATAGAATGGCCCCATGCTTGGCCCATGGCACTCAACACCCTCTCGACGATTGCGCCCTTGAATCACATCCGCAAAATCGTGATCTGTGGTCTCTTTGCCAATGGGATCGCCGCTGAAGAGCTCGACTCCAGGCTCTCGAGCCTTCCCATGCATCACTCGCCAGCTTTTCACTTTGAGATGCACCCCAACGACTACGACAGGCTCGCACCCACCTTGCATCGGTTGAGTTCCACAAACATGGTATGTCCTCTAATCAAATATCTGCTCGCCTTTCCTTATTTCTCTGGATCTGGCAGCTCCGTCGCGCCGAGCGTCATCACGACGATTGGTTTCAGGTGAGTTTTATCACTCGTGCGTCGGAATGTGCGTTTCTTACAGACCTGCGTAGAACTACACACGCGCTTTATGGTAGCTCAAATCATGCATAATATAGTGTGTCAATAAATCAGTGCATTGCGATCCATTCTCTCTCCTTGAACTTGGGTTCCACAACCCGATTTCAGCCTTATTCTCATCTCAGGAGTATACAGTATGGAGCCAGGTTCGCTAGAATGATTACTGTTCAGCAACGCAGCCCTGGATCAGAAGACCGCCATCCGGCGTCTGTGCTCTCTGCCGCGGGAAGTCTCCGTGCTGGTACCCGCCGAATTATCTCCGGGACTTATTTCTGGTTTACCCACTCGGGGAGCCCAAGGACCAGGAACGATCTACGCAACAAAATCATGACTCCATGCGCGAACGACCGAATCCCGACTCGAACGCGATTCCTGCTTGAACTGAATTATGTACATGCAGTGGTCCCTCAGCAGATGCAGACGCACTCGGCATTGTGCTATCAGGTATTCAGTTTGCATCTTTACCCTTGATTTATGGCATCAATCTCGCACGGATCTGAGAGCCGGTTGAAATTGGCTAGGAAGATTGATTAGGATTGCTCTATGGCAGAGGAGTAATTGAGAAAGACAGTCGCTACCCATCACGCCTTAAATATTTACGTATCTGAACCTCCAAATAAGCCCGGAGCAGACGAAAAACAATGTGCAACCTTTCAGATGGCGGGGGCCCGAGTCGAACGGGCGCTCTGGGATGTAATAATTCCAGACCTCGATTAATTAAACCTAGTGCACTCCGTATGCTACCCCGCCTCTTCCTATCCAGCACATACCCACCCAACGAAAGCGATTACACGGGACTTAGTCGGCCGACGAAACAAAAATATGGTGTGACTGGGGTCATGGCGGGGTCCGAATCGAACGAGCTATTTCGGGGGGTAGATTTTGTTGCCACATCAGTCCCCGGCGCACTTCATATACTACCCCGCCTCTCATCCTCCCTCCTATCCTCATTATTCCTTACAATAAAATCGTGAATGAATGATTTGATTAGCCGCATTGAGCAAAAGCATGTTATAGGCTCACCCATGGCGGGGGCCCGAGTCGAACGGGCACCTCCGAGTGTGATACAAAAAGATTTCCCGTAAGTCGAACACAGTGCACTCCATGTGCTCCCCCGCCTCCACGACTTGATTAGCCACAGCGAGCAAAAGCATGTTAAGGGCTCTTCCCCATGGCGGGGGCCCGAGTCGAACGGACATCTCTGTGAGTTAGTATGGGTCACCGATGGCTCACTTAGTTGAACACAGTGTACACCGCGTGCTACCCCGCCTTATACCCTCGTTATTTCCTACCGTGAAATCACGACTGGAATTAGGGCACGGAGTCAAAAGAATGCTGAGAATCATCCTGACCATGACGGGGCCCCGAGTCGAACGGGCACCTCTGTGAGTAAGTATGGGTAACTGAGCTCCGTCAGTTATACACAGTGCACACCCCGTGCTACCCCGTCTTCCCTCCCAAGGCGCACCGCCCTACATCCTACACGGAAAGTGGTAGATGTATGTATGTCCGCTACGGGAGATGTAGTAAAATCTATATTGGGTGTGGTCGAGGGCTCGCTGATCTCCAACTGTAGCCTTTTATAAAGAGCGCAGGTTCAAATCTATCTATGACGGGGGCCCGAGTCGAACAGACACCTCCGAATATAGTACAAAGGTTTCGCGACAGTGCACTCCATGTGCGACCCCGCCTCCCATCCTCCCTGTGAGTAAGTGTGAGTCAGCGATTGTTCGCTCAGTTGAACAAAGTGCACCTCGAATGCTACCCCGCCTTTCCTTCTTACTTCTCACAGCCTGAACTGGGAATGCGGCTAAGCCTTCTTGGAGGAAGGGTTTTCCTACTTCGCAACGTGTTCAGTGGTCCGGCGAATCGATCGGATCATCAAAACGATCCCGGAGCTGAGGAAAAAAAGATGTGTCGGACATTTTCGATGGCGGGGGCCCGAGTCGAACGCGCACCTCCAGGTGGTCATTTGATCTGATTCCAGAATACAAACCTGGCGCACACCGGTGTGCTACCCCGCCTCGTTTACTGTGAGCGGACCTCCTTATATCAGACCAATGGCATGGTTGACACGTCCTAAAGCTGCATTTCCATAATTCATCAACCCGACAGACGCGAGTGAGAAAGGGAAATCTTGCCCAGAGGCCTCTGAGTACTCGAGAGTGCCCATCTTCCGGCCCCTCCAAACACAAAAGGAGTGCACAGTGTGGGCTATGACCTGACCGCGAGTCGAACGCGGATCATCTGGTTAAACAGAACGCTTCGTTCAGATTAGTTGAAGCAGAGGCACTACATTGTGCTATCAGGTCTTTTTTATCCAATACATTTGTGGCGTCAACTAAGCTTGTGAGCATGCTCCGTAGTCGCTAAGAGCTGTGCGCAAGTTGACTCGATTTAATTCGTAACCGAATCCTCGTCGCATAGGGCCACCTGTAAACTCTACTCAGATAAATTAATTTGACTGGCGAGTATATTCACCTCCTTTCCAGCGGGAATAACTCCGGGACGTCAAGCACGAATTTCTGTGCACGAACGTGACGGAGAACAAGCAGGTCACATCCCCACGTGATCGTGACCAACCTTTCTCCCTCCCTCGATGTCCTTCTCGACGACGGCGGCGAGCAGCGCCGAGACCTGCATGAGCCTCGCCATCTCCTGTCTCCCGGGCCCCCAATCCAAGTCCTTCGAGGTCTCCCCTGCTTCCCCGGCCCGCACCATATCACTGACTTTGTTTTGGACGCAGGAAGTGCGCATCAACGACTACCTCGAGTCCTACCGCGCGACGGGCCGCCCGCCGCCGCCCTGCCCGCCGTACCCGCCCGACCCCGCCGCGCGGGCCGCCCAGCGCCTCCCCCCGCTCTTCGTTCCCACCCCGTTCTCCGCGCTCGGCGGTCCGACGTCGACGGCAGCGACGCCGTTCGGTGCGCCCGTAGCGAGCACCAGTGCGGCGGTCATCACCGACCCCGCGCGGCTGCCCGTGGTGCAGGTGTTCACCGCGCCGGTCCCCGCGCCCGAGGACGAGCGCTTCGCCAGCATCGTCGCGGCACCGGAATACACGCATTGGAGTCATGATGTGCGTTACAGCCTCGTGTTTCTCTCATTCTTACTTATACTTGGTGGGACGCAGGAACTACGATTCTACGCATACCTGCGCAACGCACGACAGCCGCCGCCGGGGACGCCCATGTTTCCATTCATCACCGCGCTTGCGCCGCCGCCCACGTTGCAGCCAGTGCTGCCACTGGATAATGGCGGAGATCAGTTTGTCAGCATTTCGTGCCGGCCGGAATTTGCGGGGCATAGCGTCGAGGTGCGTCGCGAAATTTCTGCATTCACGCGGGAACTAACCTCACTTTCCCTTTCTCTCGTTTCCTTTCTTTCTGACGACTCGCCTCATCTGCTACTCATTCTCCCACCCAGGAACTCCGCCTCTCCTTCCTCCGTACCGGCGCAGAGCTCACCTCTGCACAAATATTCTCCGGCGTCACCGCCGCTCCCACCGCTGCCCCAACAAACCCGCTCCTCCCTCCCTCCTCTTCCCTACCACCCGCCTCACACCAATCCCCTTTCGCCCCGCACCCCCAACCGCAATCGCCGTTCGCCCCCCCGCCCGCGCCCGTGTCGACGCCGCTCTTCGGACTGGGCAGCGTGGCCGCCCGCCCCGTGGCTGCGCCCTCGCAGACGTTCTCGTTCGGCGGTGCGCAACCGCAACCACCCGCGCCCGCGCCGGGCGTATTCGGCCAACCCGTCCAACCACCTGGGAGCATGTTCGGCCAGCCCGCGCAACCGCTTGGCAGCATCTTCGGCGCACCGCACCCACCCGCGCCCGCGCCCGCGCCGAGCATGTTCGGGCAGCCACAAGCGCCTAGCATGTTCGGGCAACCACCACAACTGCAACCACCACCACCACAAGCGCCGCCGGCCACGGGGGGGTTTTCGTTCGGCGCGACTCCGACGCCAGGCGCGGCGGGGGGAGGTGGGGGGACGGGGTTTTCGTTTGGGGTGAGGCGAGGGTTTTAGCGGTGTAAGCGCTTGTAGGAAGAGGAAGGTAGAGGGAGGAAGGAGGGAGACAAAAAGGAGAGGAGGAGAGGTGCTAACTTATGTATATCGTTGTGTCGCTGTTTTTGTTTTTCAATCGCGTCGTGTGTTCGTGTTGGTCTGGTTCAGAACACGTCATGGGGTAAGTACAGTATATTATCGGGCATGGAAGGAGGGAGGGAAGACCTGATAGCATAATGTGGAGTGCGTCTGTTTTCTATAATGAGACAAGGTGTTTTCAGTGGAAGGTCCCCGTTCGATCCGGGTCGGGTCATGGATATTCAGGATGGTTTTTTTTGTGGGGACTTGGCGAGGGCGCGGATGGGAAGGGCCCTGACGTATACATCCCGCTGCTCCTCTTTTCTCTTTTTGGTTGCAAGATTTTATTTTGTCCTCGTTCGCGGATCGGTCTGACAGCAATGTGGGTGGGGGTGTATAGGGAAAGGGGTACATATAAGACGCACGGTAGGAGATAAGGAAGACCTGGTAGCATAATGCTAGTGCGTCTGCTTCATGTTGTCGATAAAGGTAGAACTTTAAGCAGAAAGTCCCTGTTCAATTCGGGGTCGGGTCATATGCGGGGTGAAGTCTTCTTCTTTTTCGTTTTCGTGTTCTGACCAACGTAGAAAAAGAGGTAATGAAAACCTGACAGTATATTGTGGAGTGCATCTGCTTTCTATTAGGAAGTAGTGTGATGTTCAGCAGAAGGTCCCCGTTCGATTCGGGGTCAGGTCCTAATCGGTTAACGTCTTTTTTCTCTCTTTTGGTGGATTCGTCTGATCGCAGATTTTATACTTCTCGTTCGCCGATTTGGTCTGCCAGAATGGTAGAGTATAGGAGATACAGGGAGGAGGGGAAGGGAAGACCTGATAGCATACTGTATTGTGGAGCGTATCAGCTTTCTATTCGGAAGATCGAAGGAATATCTGCAGCAGGTCCTGTTTGATGGGTCAGGTCGTGGATACTCAGGGTTTTGTTTTGTGGATTTGGATTGCGCTCGTGGCCGAGGGGGGAAGGGCTCTACCTTATATCACTGTCGGTGTGTTTGGTTTTGGTTGCAGTCGGAAATATTAGATTTTATTCGTTCGTTCAGGATCTGGTGTGAGCAAAATGTGAGGGGTATGTAATCGATGCTGGGGACCGGATAAAGAAGACCTGGCAGCATAATGCGTAATGTGTCGGTGTTTTATTTAGAACAGGCCGAAGATCCCCGTTCGATTCGGGGTCAGGTCGTAGGGGTTCTTTTTCCCTTTTTTGTCTTTTTTTGGATTTCTCTTGTGTTCAGGGTGCTCGATTCATCCGTCTCTCCGTCTCTTCGTCGTTCATACCCATACTTCTCCTCATTATTTTTCTCTTCCCCAGAGGACTCCTCAGATCCACGCAAGATCACCATAAATCACGACGTAAACTGTGCTAAAAGTCCTGATAGCACAATGCCCACCGCGTCTGCTTCTGCTTACGGACAACTTTATGCACACAATTCAGTTCAAGCAGGATATCCCCGTTCGAGTCAGGGTCGGGTCGTTCGCGTATGGGGTCATGTTTTGTGGCGTAGATATTTCAACAAAATGTGGGACGTTAAAATCTCCTATCTTTAGGATCCCCGAGTAAGTAAGCTGGTCAATAACTAGTGAAGATGGGAAGCTACTAATACCCGGTTGACAAGGAGGATGCCGCCGCAGCCGAAACTCGGTACTCACCGGCACGGACACTTCCGGCGCCAGCCGATTCTCGGCATCAGGCTCGCACAGCTCTACCCACGATCCTCATGTTTCCCTCACGGCATAGGCTCCTTGACCAGGTCCCTCATGTCCGACTCTACGACCCCCAATCTTCCCCCTGCATTTTTTCTCAGCTCCCCCTTCGACGACCCCGCTGGGGATGTCATCCTCCGCTCATCTGATGGGATCGATTTCCACGTCCACCGCCTCGTGCTATCGCTCGCGTCGCCATTCTTCAAACAGATGTTCACACTCCCCCAGCCGAACGCCGAGCCCGGCGTTCCGGCCATTCTTGTCTCGGAATCTGCGCTGGTTCTAGACAGAGCATTGCGCTTCTGGTACCCGGGAGCCGTGCCCATCCTATCCCAGACGTTGGATGAGCTGCAGCAGATGCTGGAATGTCTTCTAATGAAGTACGACATTCAGTCCATCATTCCCTTCGCCCAGCATCAGTTGCGGGGATATATGGAGGGCGATCCTGTCTCGGTCTTCGCCATTGCGTGCCGCCACGAATGGAAGGATCTAGCCCTGGAAGCTGCAAAGAGTTCCCTGCGACTCCCAATTCGCACATTCAAGCTCGGGTCGGGCCCCCGTCCGCACCTGAAGTACATCACTGGCGATACATATCACAACCTCCTCCAATACCATTCCGACTGCGGAGAGGTCGCCAAATCGACAAGTTCCTCGCTGAGATGGTTGACTTCAATGGATAATCTCCCCGGTTATGAGTGTGAAACCTCATCTTCCATCTGCTCATTACGCCCCGATCAGTCATTCGCAAACGGCGAATCATCGGAAATCGCAGCATGGTTCGGCACCTACTTGGACCGTTTGCCAGAAGCGCTTGCGACGAAACCCGGGGCCTGGCTTAATAGTCCAGAACTGCTGCCATTGGCATTGTTAGAAATCCCTCCGGGGTGCACTCACTGTAGAACAACGGGGGTCAAACAGTTGATGAAGTTCGCAGTAGATTTCAACGCCAACATGGCGAAACAATTCGACTTGGTATGTCCTCTTCGTCGTGTCATTTTTTGGGTTCGCACTGAGTCAATCCACAGGTCGAACTGAAATTGGACTTCTAAACTTTGACGTTGCCTCTGGTTCGTTCGTGATGTAAGTTGTATTCTGAGCCAAATAACACAAAGCAGGAACCTACCGAACCTAGGACTACCCCGTTCGCTTTCCTTGTGATCTCGCGCCCGCTTTCGTACGTCTCGATACCGAGTACTCTTTATTTGACCATCCACTGTATCGAAATATGAATTTACACGTTGAACTTTCGGAAGCGCGCTAGACAGTCGGTAGGTTCGAAATCTTGCCTGCAATTACTGCATAAGAATCCTTATGCAATAATGAAATTAGGGCGCATCCCCGACAAAATACCCGCTCCTCACGATTCTGTAGCGCCGCTTTCTCGCACTCTATCCGTAGATAAGGAATAAGCCCTGCCCATCTGACCTGTGCCATGAATGTTCAAGCGCTGAACCGCCTTTCGCAGGCCCGCCTTGAACACTCGGCTTCTTTCCTGGATTCGGCGTCGACCTGCTGTAACTTGATCGCTGAGCGCCGAGTGCCCGGTCAGTGATGTTCGCCCAAAGAAAGAAAGATCCAGTAAGGGCATCACACAATTTCGCCGTATGAATTATATTCTCGGGCGGCCGGGCGGCATTCGAAATAAATAGCGGCACTCGCGCTTAAACATATGTGGGGGAGTGGTTTGGAAAGTTGTTCAAAGCGGGAAGGATGAAGTGAGAGTGCGGCTCGAGGTCCATCTTTCAGACCAGCCGTATGTGCCGGGGGGATCCAATATTGAAATGAAAGTGGGACCAAGTAGACAATAAGAAGAAGAGAGCTGATCAGCGCCGAGTGGAGGAGGAAGGCGTAGTGGAAACGATTCGATCCTGCAATTCCCCTGGTAGCTATCTTGTAAGCCAGCGCCGCGCTGTTGAAAAGGAGAGGCGCGTGAGTCTGAGTTCGAGTTTTGGATTTCTCAGAACCTGAGTTAGGAGAGAGAACGGATCGCAATGCACTGATTTATTGACACATTTACACAATTTGAGCTATCACAAATTGCGGGTATAATTCTGCACAGTTCTGTAAGAAACGCACATTCGGATGTGCCAGTGATAAAACTCACCTGAAACCAACTATCGTGATGACGCTCGGCGCAACGGAGCTGTCAGATCCAGAGGAATAAGGACAGACCAGCAGATATGTGTCTGGAGAACGCACCATGTCTGTGGAACTCAACCGATGCAAGGTGGGTGCAAACCTGTCGTACTTGTCGGGATCCATCTCAAAGTGAAAAGCTGGCGAGTGATGCATGGGAAGCTTCGAGAGTCTAGAGTCGAGCTCTTCAGCGGCGATCCCAACGATTAAGACACCACAGATCATGATCTGGCGAATGCTATTGGAGGGCGCAATTGTCGAGAGAGTATTGAGTACCATCGGCCAAGGGAAGTCCCCCTCTATCGAAATGCGGAGGAGCACGAGGCGTGGGAATGTGGAGAGGTCGATCGTGGGGTCTTCGTAGGTCTGTGAAGATGAATGAGAAGTTTGGGAACAAAATCAGAAGGCGCACCCAAGCGGTAAAGTCGAGGGCTTCAAGTGTTTGGAGGCATGGTGCAACCTTTGACCAGCGGAGTACTTCTGTATGCCTGGAGACACCCTCAACCCCGAAAAATCGAATGGGCAGAAGGCGTGGTCTATCCAGTCACGCATCGCTCTCATTGGGTGCACGATTCGGAATGAGTCAAGGTGAATAGGTGCGGGCCAGCGGTGAGAGGTGGGATGGAAGGCCTCAGTCGATATCTAGAACCATCTGAGTTGCAGGTGCTTGATACCAGGAGCGCAGCCCTCCCAGATCTGCATAAATGTCGAAGGGTTGCCATACCCGTCCCCCAGGCTAACAAAACGGAGAGTAGGCAGACTAAACAGCTGCTGCAGAGCGATCGCAAGCGGAGGGGCTAGGGTGAAATCGCGAATGCAAACTTCCTTCAAATGAGTGAATAGGAAATTGCAGATGGTGGAGAATGTTTCGAGAGACATCAGGTCGGGTACAAGTGTGAGTCGATGAATGTGCTGGACGAGGTGTGGGGAGGTATGCAGTGTCTCCTGGCAGCGAGACCACAAGGTGGTGGTTTTATTTATTGAGACTCCATAATCACCGATGGAGAGCTCTTTGAAGATATGAGATTGGGCAGAATGCACAAATGCACGGGAAACCAAGGCGCAGGCCTTCAAAGCGGTCGTGGTGTCATGCAGGAAATCGATGATGTGGTTCACCAGTTCCTGCGGTGTCTGAATGTGGTCTTGGTCCATTGGATGGGCTAAGCGAGGAATATTCAGGATGGGTGTGCCTGAATGTTTGGCTCGGAGCTCGGCCAAGTTCCGAAGGTGCTGTGGGGGGAAGAGGCAGAAGTGTCACGCGTGACATAATGTGACCTTCCTCCTTTTCTTCCGATGTCCTTCTCGACGACGGCGGCGAGCAGCGCCGAGACCTGCATGAGCCTCGCCATCTCCTGTCTCCCTGGCCCTCAATCCAAGTCCTTTGAGGTCTCCCCCGGTTCCCCGGCCCGCACCACATCCCTGACTTTGTTTTGGAGTCGGGTATCGTGGAGGAAATTGATGATGTGGTTCACCAGTTCCTGCGGTATCTGAATGTAGCCCTGGTCCATTGCATGGGCTAAGCGATTAATATCCTGGATGGGTATGCCTGGATGTTTGACTCGAGCTCGGCCAAGTTCCGAAGACGCTGTGGGGAGAAGTGTCACGTGTGACATAATGTGACTTTTCCCCTCGATGTCCATTGTCCTTCTAAAACGGTAAACCCACTACTAAAGATAATTAAGTAGCCTCGACGACGGCGGCGAGCAGCGCCGAGACCTGCATGAGCCTCGCCATCTCCTGTCTCCCAGGCCCCCAATCCCAGTCCTTTGAGCTCTCCCCCGCTTTCCCGGTTCCCCGGCCCGCAGCACGCACTGACTTTGTTTTGGACGCAGGAAGTGCGCATCAACGACTACCTCGAGTCCTCCCGCGCGTCGGGCCGCCCTGCCCGCCATACCCGCCCGACCCCACCGCCCGGGCCGCCCAGCGCCTCCCCCCGCTCTTCATTCCCACCCCGACGGCCCGTTCTCCGTGCTCGGCGGCCCGGCGTCGACGACGGCGCCGTTCGGTGCGCCCGTAGCGAGCACCAGTGCCGCGGCCATCACCGAACCCGCGCGGCTGTTCGTGGCGCAGGCGTTCACCGCGCCGGTCCCCGCACCCGTGGACGAGCGCTTCGCTAGCATCGCCGCGGCGCCGGACTGTACGCATTGGAGTCATGATGTGCTTGTGACTTAGCCTCGCGTTTCTCTTATTCGTACTTATACCTGTGCAACGCACGACAGCCGCCGCCGGGGACTCCGCTGTTTCCGTTCGTTACCGCGTTCGCCCAGCCGCCAATGTCGCAGCCAGTGCTGCCGCTGGATAAGGGCGGAGATCAGTTTAGTTTGTCAGCATTTCGTGCCGCCCAGAGTTAATGGGGCATAGCGTCGAGCGCGAATCCTTGCATTCACGCGGAAACTAACCTCACCTTTCTTCCTCCATCCTCCCACCCCAGCAATTCCGCCTCTCTTTCCTCCGCGCAGATATTCTCCGGCCTCACCGCCGCCCCCACCGTCGCCCCCCCTCCTCTTCCCTACCACTCACCTCACACCAATCTCCTTTCGCCCCGCAACCCCAACCGCAATCGCCGTTTGCGCCCCCGCCCGCGTCCGCGCCGACGCCGCTCTTCGGACTGGGCAGTGTGGCCACGCGCCCCGTCGCAGCACAGACATTCTGGTTCGGCGGCGCGCAGCCCCAACCACCCGCGCCCGCGCCGGGCGTGTTCGGCCAGCCCGTCCAACCACCTGGGAGCATGTTCGGCCAGCCGGCGCAACCGCCTGGCAGCATCTTCGGCGCACCGCATCCACCCACGCCCGCGCCCGCGCCGAGCATGTTCGGGCAGCCACAAGCGTCTAGCATCTTCGGACAACCACCACAACTGCAACCACCACCACCACAAGCGCCGGCGGCCGCGGGGGGATTTTCGTTCGGCGCGACGCCGACGCCGGGCGCGGCGGGAGGAGGCGGGGGGACGGGGTTTTCGTTTGGGGGGAGCAGGGGGTTTTAGCGGTGTAAGTGCTTGTAGGAAGAGGAAGGGGAGTGGGGAGTGGGAGACAAAAAGGAGAGGAGGAGGGAGAGAGAGAGCAGGAGAGGTGCTAACTTATGTATATCGCTGTGTCGCTGTTTTTGTTTTTCAATCGCGTCGTGTGTTCGTGTTGGTCTGGTTCAGAGCACGTCGTGGATTAAGTAAAGTATATTATTGGGCATGGAAGGATGGAGGGAAGACCTGATAGCATATTGTGGAGTGCGTCTGTTTTCTATAGTGAAATAAGGTGTTTTCAGTGGAAGGTCCCTGTTCGATTCGGGGTCAGGTCATAAATGCCGGAGGGTGTTTTTTCTCTTTGGTGGATTCGTTTCATCGCAGATTTTGTACTGCTCGTTCGCCCATTTGGTCTGCCAGAATGGTAGGGTATAGGAGACGCAGGGAGGGATGACCTGATAGCATAATGTTAGTGCATCTGCTTCAGGTTGCAAGAAACAAGGATCTTGAGCGGAAGGTCCCCGGTCAATTCGGAGTCAGGTCGTTGGGATTGGTCTTTTTTGGTTGGAGTTGTCTCGTCGGAATGGCCAGATATTATTCGTCTCGTTCACGGAATTGGTGTGAGCACATTGTGGAGTATATAGCCGACACACGGGAGAGGTGGAGGAAGAGCTGATAGCATAATGTGTAGTGCGTCTGCTTGCTATTAGAAAACAGTGTGCATCAGCAGAAGGTCCCTGTTCGATTCGGGGTCAGGTCATATACTGGCTGTAGGGTATTTTTTTTTTCGTTGGATTGTGTTCGGGCCCGAGGGGGGGAAGGGCTCTACCTTACTGTATATCACTATCGGTGTATTTGGTTTTGGTTGCGGTCGGAAACACAAAATTTTATTTGCTCGTTTAGGATCTCGTTGTGAGGGGTATATAGTGAATGGGTGAGAGATAGAGAAGACCTGGTAGCATAATATAATGGGTCTGTTTTCTATTGGAGACGAGGAAAATATTCAGCGGAAAATCCCCGTTCGATTCGGGGTCGGGTCATAATCTGTAGCTCTTTTTTCCTTTTTTTTCTGTTTTTTTTGTTGGACTTCTCTTGCGTCCAGGGTGTTCGATTCATTCGTCTCTCCGTCTCTCCGTCGTTCACACTCTTCCTCTTTCCTTTTCTCTTCCCCAGAGGACTCCTCAGATCCACGCGAGAACACCATAAATCACGACGTAAACTGTGCTAAAAGTCCTGATAGGCTATAGCCTGCTCTACCTACAATCATATGTACAGCAATACAGTTCACGCAGGACATCCAAGTTCGAGTTGAGGTGGGGTCGTCGTCATTGGGGAAGGTGTTTGGCGTAAATATTTCAGGGCAGCTGTGGGACAACTACACCTCCGATCCTTGCAATAATTAGCTCAGATGGGCACAGTACCCGACGCCCGTTGACAAATAGGATGCCGCGGTAGCCGAAACTCGGTTGACACCGGCACGGACACTTCCGGCGCCATGCCGCATACGACTCGCTCACGGTTCTACCCACGATCCTCGTGTTTCCCTCACGGCAGAGGCTCCTTGACCAGTACCCCCATGCCCGATTCAACAGAACCCAACCCTCCCCCTGCATTCGTTCCCAGCTCCCCCTTCGATGACCCCGCTGGGGACGTCATCCTCCGCTTATCTGATGGGATCGATTTCCACGTCCACCGCCTCGTGTTATCACTCGCGTCGCCATTCTTCAAACAGATGTTCACACTCCAGCCGAACGCCGAGCCCGGCGTTCTGGCCATTCTTGTCTCGGAATCTGCGCTGGTTCTAGACAGAGCGTTGCGCTTCTGGTACCCGAGAGCCGTGCCCATCCTATCCCAGACGTTGGATGAGCTGCAGCAAATGCTGAAATGTCTTCTACTGAAGTACGACATTCAGTCCCTCATTCTCTTCGCCCAGCATCAGCTGCGGGGATATACACGGCAGTGATCAAAAAAAATTACAAATTCCCTCGGCCATATCCCACGGGTCCGGATCTTTCCCATGGTAAAAGATTGTCTTTTACCACAGGAAATTTGGGCGCCAGATCTTTCCGTAGTAACAGACCATCTTTTACCACGGAGAAACTCACGGAAAAATTCCAACTTTTACCACCAAATTTTCTCATGGTAAAATCTTATTTATTACTAGCGCAAAGTGTACAGGAAATATTATAAAATTTACCATGGTTTTTCCTCAGGTAAAATTTAGGCCCGGAAAGGGAACATCATAGTTCTAGGCCCTCTTTCCATGGGTAATTTTTTTTGATCACCGCTGTGATATGGAGGGTGATCCTGTCTCGGTCTTCGCCATTGCGTGCCGCCATGAATGGAAGGATCTAGCCCTGGAAGCCTCAAAGAGTTCCCTGCGACTCCCAATTCGCACATTCAAGCTCGGGTCGGGCCCCCGTCCGCACCTGAAGTACATCACTGGCGATACATATCACAACCTCCTCCAATACCATTCCGACTGCGGAGAGGTCGCCAAATCGACAAGTTCCTCGCTGAGATGGTTGACTTCAATGGATAATCTCCCCGGTGATGGGTGTGAAACAGTAAACTGCGTCTTCCATCTGCTCATTACGCCCCAGTCAGTCATTCGCAAACGGCCAATCATCGGAAATCGCAGGATGGTTCGGCACCTATTTGGACCGTTTGCCAGAAGCGCTTGCGACGAAACCCGGGGCCTGGCTTAATAGTCCAGAACTGCTGTCATTGGCTTTGTTCCAGATCCCTCCGGGGTGCACTGACTGTAGAACAACGGGGGTCAAACAGTTGATGAAGTTCGCCGTAGATTTCAACGCCAACATGGCGAAACAATTTGAATCGGTATGTCTCTTCGTCGTGTCATTTTTTGGATTCGTACTGAGTCAATCCACAGGTTGAACTGAAATTGGAGTTCTAACCTTTGATCTTGTCTCTGGTTCGTTCGTCAGGTAAGTCGTATTCCGAGCCAAATAAGGCAAAGCGGATTTACCGAACCTAGGACTACCCCGTTCGCTTTCCTTGGGATTTCGTACCCACTTTTTGTACACCTCGATACCGAGATGACTCTGTACTCAACCATCTCGAGATATGAATTTACACGTCGAACTTTCTTAAGCGCGCCAGACATTTGGTAGGTTCGAAATCTTCCCTGCAATTCCTGCATGAGAATCCTTATGGTGAAAATGAATGAATGGAACTGGAAATTAATCAAAGTGCCGAACGACACCTTGACGACACCCGCGCTGAAGGAAGATTATGAAAGGTCGACTGAATAAACGAGAATGCGGCATTACCAGCGGGAAGGCAGGGATAGGGCACAGCGCAGGGGATGAGGTAAGAGTGCGGTTCGAGGACTATTCTTCGTGCGACAGATCAGAACAACCGCGTGTGCCGGGAAGGTTCAATATTGGAATAAAAGCAGGACCAAGGAGACAATAAAAAGAAGAGGGATGGTCAGCTCCGAGAGGACGAGGAAGATGCAGCGGAAACATGAGAACCCTGCAATACTCATCCGCTAGATGGCACAGCCGCTCCATGGCGGTCTTGGAAGCCAGCGCCGCGCTGCTGAAAAGTAACCATTCCAACGACCTTGGCTGCATGTTGTATACTTTTGAGAGGCGCGTGAGGCTGAGATCGACTTGTGCATTTTTCAGAACTTAAGGTGAAGGAGAGAATGGAACGCAATGCTTTACTGACACATGTGTACTCTCGCATCCTCACTTCTATGCGGCAGCTCCGTCGCGCTGAGCGCCATTATGGGCATGATGATTGGTTCCAGGTGAGTTTTGTCACTCACGCGTCCGAGTTTCCTACAGAACTGCCCAGACTTATACCCAAAATTTATGATAGCTCAAATCATGCATGTATATGTGGCTGGGGAACGTACCATGTTTGTGGAGCTCAACCGATGCAAGGAGCGGGCGAGATTGGCGTAGTCGAAGGGATTCATCTCCAAGTGGAAAGCTTCCAAGTGATGCATGGAAAGGCTAGAGAGCCTGGAGTCGAGCTCTTCAGCGTCGATCTCATCGGCGGAGACGCCACAGATCACGATTTTGCGAATGGGATTCGAGGGCGCAATCGTCGAGAGGGTGTTGAGTACCGTCGGCCAGTCATAGTCCCAGTTTATCGAAATGCGGAGGAACACGAGACCTAGGAATGGAGAGAGGTCGATCATGGGGTCGGAGAGCTGTAGGAAGATGAGCAGGACAGTGTTAGATTAAATCGGCATGCGTACGGGAATGATAAAGTCGAGTGCTTTGACCGCTCGGAGGGCTGGTGTAATCTGTGGCCAGCGAAGTACTTCTGTATACATTGAGATTGACAACACCCTCAACCCGGAGAAATCGAATGGACAGAGGGGGTGGTCCATCCAGTCACGCATCCCTCTGATTGGGTGTATGATTCGGAGTAAGTCAAGGTGAATAGGCGCGGGCCAGCGGTGAGAGGTGGGGTGGAAGGCCTCAGTCGATGTCTGGAAACATCTGAGTTCCAGGTGCTTGAGACCGGGAGCGCAGCGATCCCAGATCTGCATAAATGTCGAAGGATCGGCATACCGGCACTCAAGGCTAACAAAACGGAGACTAGGCAGACTAAACAGCCCTTGCAGAGCGATCGCAAACGGAGGGGATAGGTCCAAATTGCGAATGCAAACTTCCTTCAAATGAGTGAATGGGAAAGTGCAGATCGCGAAGAGTGTGTCGATGGAGATCTGGCGGGGATGGAGTTTGAATCGATGAATGTGTTGGACGAGGTGTGGGGAGGCATGTAGTGTCACCTGGCACCGAGACCACAAGGCGTCAATATCACTTGTCGGCGCTCCAAAATGACCTATAGATAGCTCTTTGAAAATATGGTATTGGGCCTCATCCACAAATGCACGGGAAACCAAGGCGCAAGCCTTCAAACTGGTCGGGGTGTGGAGGAAATTGATGATGTGGTTCACCAGTTCCTGCGGTATCTGAATGTAGTCCTGGTCCATTGCATGGGCTAAGCGATTAATATCCTGGATGGGTATGCCTGGATGTTTGACTCGGAGCTCGGCCAAGTTCCGAAGGCGCTGTGGGGGGAAGAGGCAGAAGTGTCACCTGTGACATAATGTGACTTTTCCCCTCGATGTCCTTCTAAAACGGTAAACCCACTACTAAAGATAATTAAGTAGCCTCGACGACGGCGGCGAGCGGCGCCGAGACCTGCATGAACCTCGCCATCTCCTGTCTCCCAGGCCCCCAATCCCAGTCCTTTGAGGTCTCCCCCGCTTTCCCGGTTCCCCGGCCCGCAGCACGCACTGGCTTTGTTTTGGACGCAGGAAGTGCGCATCAACGACTACCTCGAGTCCTCCCGCGCGTCGGGCCGCCCTGCCCGCCGTACCCGCGCGACCCCGCCGCGCGGGCCGCCCAGCGCCTCCCCCCGCTCTCCGTCCCGACGCCGTTCTCCGCGCTGGGCGGCCCGACGTCGACGGCAGCGACGCCGTTCGGTGCGCCCGTAGTGAACACCAGCGCCGCGGCCATCACCGAACTCGCGCGGCTGCCCGTGGCTCAGGCATTCACCGCACGGTCCTCGCGCCTGACGGGGGCTTCACCAGCATCGCCGCGGCGCCGGACTGTACGCATTGGAATCATGATGCGCTTGTGATTTAGCCTCGCGTTTCTCTTACTCGTACTTATACCTGCGCAACGCACGACAGCCGCCGCCGGGGACTCCGCTGTTTCCGTTCGTTACCGCGTTCGCGCAGCCGCCATGTCACAGCCAGCGATATGGGCG